GGAAGTAAAGCTGGGCTGTACAAAATACTCTCAGATGAGCTGAGCTTCTAAAAAGACTCTCAGAGGAGAAAAGCCTCAATGGCTTGGAAGAAGCAGAACCCTGCTGAGCGGACAAACTGGGGCACGTGGAAAGGACACCCTCCAACCCAGCAGCCTGGGCAGTGTGCTTGAGCTTCCTGCTTAGTGAACTCACACCACACTAGGCTTTGGTGATGCCACTGTCTTTTGAGGCATTTCTGCAAGTAACCCCTCCTTGATATTCTTGTAAATAGCCCCATGAAAACTCATTAGTTCACAAAATTGGACTTCAGTGGTATCCGTACTTTGATCTGTCATGGGTTCTCTAACTGGGGTGAGTAAATGTGTGCTGCATGTCTCCGGGAAAGGTTTTGTCACACTACACAAGTGTGTGCCACCACGCCCTGCTAGAAGTTAATGTATCTACACAAATGAACTCTTTCTCCTTTCAAAAAAAAAATGACTCATTGTACGTCAAATTGAATGTGGTTTAGTGTTGATAACTCGGTAGGACTTTCCCAAGAGAAAGCTCACAAATCAATAAACAGTCTGTTATTAGAACATGTTTCCTAATCCATCCATCCACCTGTACGTGCATAGGTGTAATAAATACAGGTGATGAAGACACAGATCAGAAATCTTTCCATGTTCCTCTCGCTTTTTAAAAGATGTGTGTGTGTGTGTGTGTGTGTGAGAGAGAGAGACAGAGAGAGAGAGAGAGAGAGAGATGGCCAGTGTGTGGAAGTCAGAGGACACCTTCATGAAGTTACTTCTTTCCTCCTGCCTGTACATGGAGTGCAGGGGTTGAACTCCAGCTTGCAAAACAAAAGCCTTTACCCACCAAGCATTCTTGCTGGCCCTCCTCTGGCTTTTTAATAGAGGCATGGGTTTTTATTAACCTGTTTGTTTCTAGTTTTTCTTTGTTTTGTTTTTGCAATTATTAACAGCAGTGCTGAGCATGGAGCGACTGAGGTGGGAGGACATGAGTCTGAGGCCAGCCTGGGCTAAAGAGAGAAACTCTGCCTGGATAACGATAGTAATGCTGTGGTCACTATCCTTATGGCTGCCTCTCTGTGTCCACCTGGGATTTTATGGGCTTAAATTTGGAGGACTGAAGTTGCTAGTGAAAGAAAACTGACACTCTGAAGTGGGATAGTCACTGTCAATCTGTCTCCCAGCTAGCTCTACCCGGTTACTGGTACTGCACAGTAAGCGGGTGTGATTATAGTGTGTCTCTCATTCACATCATTAGCACTTTAATGTATCTTTTGTGTTTATGTGTGTGGTATATGCACACACATGTGTGCAGGTGCATGCACCTGTGTGTACACTTGGAGGCCAGAGGAGGAGTCCGGTGTCCTGCTCCACCCCTCTCTGCCTTCCTTATTCCCCTTAAGACAAGGTCTCTCACTGAATCAGGAGCTAGACTGGCAGCCAACAATCCTCTTACCCCCTCCTAACCCACAGCCTGGGGTTACAGGTGCATGTGACCATCTCATCTTTCACCAGGCATTCTAGGGATTTGAACTCAGGTCCTCATGCTTTTCAGCAGGCCCTCTTGAGACCTCTGACTCTTAAACATGTTTAGGATTCATTTGTACTCTCTGTACCTTTGTTTTGATTTTTGAGAACAGGTCTCACTACGTAGCCCAGGCTGGCCTGGAAGTCACTGAAGGCCAGACTCACCATTCTCCTTGTGCCAACATTAGCTGTTTTTAAAATAAAGACCGAGTATAATCATTTTCTTTGTATTTGATTCCCATTCATTCTGATTTAGATTTTTTTTAAAATGGTTTTCCAAGACAGGATTTCTTGAATAGCTTTGGAGCCTGTCCTGGAACTAGCTCTAGTAGACTAGAGTAGGCTGGCCTTGAACTCACAGAGATCTGCCTACCTCTGCCTCCCGAGTGCTGGGAATAAAGGCATGCACTACCACTGCCCAGCTTGGATGGTTTTATACATACATAAATGTATGATCTTCAAGATAAGAGTGTCGTATCAATAGCAGAGATTAACATGAGTCAGTACCCATAACCATGTGCAATGCCTCGTCTGAGAAAACCCACGCAGCAGAGGGGAAAACAAACAAACATTCTCAAAGCATGGTTTGAACTATTCTCTCTGGAAAGTATGGTCACTAGGAAGCATTCTGAATGCCTGGTAACACCAGGAAGTCTTCAGTGCAGCATTTTATATTTGTGGAGTAAATTAAGGCAGCTTAAAGTGTTTTATAGTATATAAAACTATAAAAATAATAAAACTAGTAAAGTAAGGTGTCTTAAGACATTTTTATAGTTTATAAAACCACAAACATAATAAATACATACTTACCTGTCCAAAAAGTTCAATAGCTCTGAGTACTTAAATTACAGACTTCAAGCTATGCTCTTCCCCACACCATCAGAAACCCTAACAGGTGTGTGGTCTTACTTCTTCCTATACATATATATTTATGAATTTAGTGAAGTTTTGTTTTCTACTTTTTTGTTTGTTTGTGTTTGTGGAGATAGGGCCCCGGTTGTTCTGGAGCTGACTATGTAGACCAGGCTTTTCCTGAGCTCATAGAGACCCACCTGCCTTTGCTTCCTAAGTGCAGGGATTAAAGGTGTGCAGCACCACACTTGGGCTTGTCCGGTTCCCCCGCCTCCCCCTGGTACACAGGAATTTAATTTGGGCCTTATGCATACATGGTAGGCAAATGCTTTCCCACTGAGTCAAGCACCCAACCTTTCACTAGGGGATTCTAGGCAAGTGCTTTCTCACTGAGCCACACCCCATCCCCTCACTGGGGGATTCTAGGCAGGTGCTCTACCACAGAGCCACACCCCAGTCCCTCACTAGGGGATTCTAGGCAGGGGCTCTACCACAGAGCCACACCCCAGCCCCTCACTGGGGGATTCTAGGCAGGGGCTCTGCCTCTGGGCCACACCCCAGCCCCTCACTGGGGAATTCTAGGCAGGGGCTCTACCACAGAGCCACACCCCAGCCCCTCACTGGGGGATTCTAGGCAGGGGTTCTACCACTGAGCCACACCCCAGCCCCTCACTGGGGGATTCTAGGCAGGGGCTCTCCCACTGAGCCACACTGCATCCCCTCACTGGGGGATTCTAGGCAGGGGCTCTACCTCTGAGCCACTGCATCCCCTCACTGGGGGATTCTAGGCAGGGGCTCTACCACTGAGCCACACTCCAGCCCCTCACTGGGGGATTCTAGACAGGGGCTCTACCTCTGAGCCACACCCCTGATCTGCAGCTGTACCACATTTACAGCCCTCTTTTCACCTTTTGAGCCAAGATTTCACTCCACTGTGCCCGAAGGTCTTAGATTTGTAATCCCCCTGCCCCTAAACCACTCCAGCAGCTGGGGTGGTGGGCCTGTGCCACTAGGCCTGGCTTACATTATGCATCGATTAATGCTTTCCTCGCAGAGTGGAAGCAGCATGCCGTCCATCCCACAGCTTGCTTTATCTGCCGTCAGAATGCATTCCGTTGTCATGCCAAGCGTGGTGACTTTTGAAGTCTGCCTTTCCCATGTGACCATATACTACACAGACCCTAGAAGACTGAGGAGAGCTTCCTTTAAGAGAAAACAATGACTCTCACCCAACATGCCTGAAACCAAGTAGCCCACCGTGTGTCTCTCTTTTCCCCCAGAGCCTCAATGTCACATTCGGAGGACATTTCACCCTCTTTGGGGGTCTTAGACTTGAAAGAGTAGAGTCTAATAAAATCAAAGGGCTTACATTGGCGTCAGCTACTTTTTAATCTCTTGATTTTTCACGAAGTTTGGTTTCTTATTTTGTTCAAAAATTTTTTTAACCTACCTTGAGGGCATGAAGTCTTGGGATCGACAAAAGACATGATAGGGTCAGGACAAGAGTGAGTTCAGAGGAGTGTGGCCGGTCCACAACCCCTGCCTCCCACAGGAGCCTGGGCCCCCAGGGAGCTAATGCCCAGCCTGTCTGGGTTCTACATCTGGCTCAGCTGGGGCACTCTGCTAGCTGTGCTCTCCAGACCCATCTTACAACAGAGCCAGGGCAGCTTCAGGACCCAGCTCTGGGGACCTTTGCTGGCAAAGACTCTTGTCCTGCCTGGATTTTCCCCCAGAGAAAGAGGCCCTTTCTCCTCCCTCCAAGGCACTTTTTCCTCAGCCAAGCCCCTGGGGATCGCATCTGCCTGAGGGGGGCCCTCTTTCCAGTCAGCAGCAGGCACCCTTGCATGCGGTTCAGACTTTTGGGAACTGCTTCAAGGGTTTCTGAACTGAGTCTGCTTCGGAGACGGACTGGTCCTGGGGGTCAGGTCTTCTCCAGCATCTTCAGGGCGACTCGACCCTTCAGCAGTCCTCCTCGGCGTGAGGACAAACCGAGTTCTAGGAGGATGTCTGGGTAGCTGCTTTCTTCCACACAGTCCATTCTGTGTTCATTTAACAAATATTTGAGGCTCTTGTCTCAGCCAAGGCCTCTTCTAGCCAGGGGAAATATGCAGAACAGGACAGACAAGGTCCCTGCTTTTGTGAAGCTGGCACTCTAGTGGGGGAAGCCAGATAAGGAACAAGCAAAATAAGTCAACAAGCACATTCTGAGTAAGCCACGAGGAAAATAAAGTGGTGTGGTGGCCTTAGTGGTGTGGGGGAGGGTACGGCTCACACCTTTCTGAGAAGGTGGCTCTCAACTGCCTGGAGGAAAGGGGACCGTGCCAACATAGAACACTCCAGGGAACCAGAAAAGCAAAGCACAACCTCCAGAGGCTGGGCAAGCCTGTAGGAGGGGAGGCAGGAGTGGATTCATGCTATGTTCTTTCAGAACCTTCCTTTCTCCCTCACATCCAAGGTGTTAAAGACCCTGACCGAGTGTGTTGTTTTGAAGATACTGGGGAGGGGGGGAGTGTCTGCAGTTCCCATCTGTAGACAGACAGCACACTGTCATGGACCCTAGAAGACCCAGGAGAGCTTCCTTTAGGAGAAAACAATGGCTCTCAATCAACATGCCCGAAATCAAGCAGCCCACCGCCACCATGTGCCTCTCATGTCCCCCACAGCCTCAGTGTCACACTCGGAGGACAGTGAGACAATGGAGGAAGCTCGGTGAGAACATGGTGGGCTGCAAGCAAGTAATATGGGAAGAAGGGATAAGTTAAGAGGTGTAGCTACGTCAGGGACTGAATCCAGGGCTTCGCGTGTGCTGGGCATGTGCTCTACTGCCGAGCTACACCCTCAGCTCTCTTTTTCTTTTCATTTTGAGACAGGGTCTTACTAAGTTACCAGGGCTGACCTTGAATTTACAGTCTCCCTAAAGCAACTGGAAGGACAGGGTTGTACTAGCTGTCCTGCTGCTGTCTCCGACAGGATCAGGAACATCCACATAGATGCAGCCACTGCTCTTCTGCTGGCACCGGATAGCTGCTAGCCAGCCCAGGACACTGGGACTCTACCTGGCATATGTCTGGCCCCACACCCAGCCTCAAGCACAAGGGTTTCCACAGTAGCTGGCTCCTCGTGCCTTCCTATGGGAATCCCCCCCCCTTTTTTTTTTCTTGGACTGAGGAGTTTCCTGACCAAAAGCTCAGAGTCAGTTACCTAGACTCCCACGGGCCTCTTTACCAGCTGCTAGTCCATATGTATATCCCCATGCCCAGTGATTGGCTGGACAGAGGTGGCATTTCAGCTCTGTGCTAAGGATGCACTGACCTGCCCAAGGACCTAAAGACCCACCGGAAGACTCTAGGACAAGGAAGAGGAGGAACACAGTTGGCCTTCATAGCATATATATATACATATATATATATGTATATATATACACACACACATATAGAATCTCATTGTGTGGCTGTGACTGGCTTGAAACTTTCTTTGTAGATAGACCAGGTTAGATAAAACTGACAGAAATCCACCTGCCCTTGCCTTTCGAGTGGATTAAAGGTATGTCCCCACCCCCTTACCCACATCACTATTTCTCTAAGCTAAATCCCAAATAAAAATCTGGTGCTCTAGCACATTCTGAAATTTGCTTTTTGTTTATTTTGCTGTACTGCAGAGCCACACTCTCAGCTTACTAACGAAGTCAAGGCGGGTGTTCTACCACTGAGCCACATGTCCAGTTCCTTCCTAGTGGAGTCTAGGCAAGTGCTTACCATAGGGCTACACCCCTAGCCCCTCACCAGCAGATTCTAGGCAGGGGCTCTACCACTGAGCCACACCCCAGCCTCTCACTGGGGGATTCCGGGTGAGCACTACCACTATATCCCCAGCCTTGACGTAATGTTATTTAAGACAGGAAATCTAGAATAAATGTTCCATAATGGTTTCTTGGTTTTGGTAATTTTTGGAGGATGGAGTTTGGGTTTGTTTCTTTCTTTCTCTCTCTCTCTCTCTCTCTCTCTCTCTCTCTCTCTCTCTCTCTCTTTCTCTCTTCAGTGTTTCTCTGTAGCTTTGGAGCCTGTCCTGGAACTCGCTCTGTAGACCAGGCTGGCCTCAAACTCAGATTCACCTGCCTCTGCCTCCCAAGTGCTGGGATTAAAGGCATGCCCCACCACCGCTTGGCTTTTTTTTTTTTTTTTAAGGCAGTCTCATTATGGAACCCAGGCTGGCCTGAAACTCACTGCATAGCCTCAGCGGGTCTTGAACTCTTGGTGAGTGTACAGAATCTGTAATTCTCCTGCCTCTGTCTCCAAAGTGCTTAGATTATAGCCACGTGTCAGCAAGCTCTGACTGAGTGGTAATTTAATAAAACATGAAATGGGGGCTGCGATTTGTACCATGGATCTTGGTCAGACAGGCACATGAAGAAGAGGTGCCCATGCCCAGCATTTGCTTTAATCAGGGCTCCTTGCTGGATGGGGGCTCTGGGGGCTTTACAAGGAACTTTACAGCAAAAAAGCCTCAAGAACTTCTCTCTCAGTTTGCTAAACAAAACTAACAATGATTTTTTAAAACTTTCCTGCAGTTTGATTTGAATTTCTCCTAGAATCTCTAATGCCTGCTTTTGCTTGTCTGCTAACCGCTTTGAGTCAATGGGAAACATAACACAAACAACAGAAGAAATCACACGCGGTGCTGCAGTCGGTGAATGGGAAGAAGAAACTGGAAACACTGATTCTCAGGAACTCAGGATTTTTTTTTAATCTATCGCATAGTTATGATCTTAGGTGGCATCCACAGTTATGTTTCCTAACGGGCAAATCACTGCTGGGATGTTTGGCAGAGAATAACTTCACATGGCTTTGCCTAAGATCGGGCTGAGAAATCCGGCATAGTACCTCACCAGGCATCCCATAATCATGCCAAAGTGAGTTCCTCAATGTGACAGATTTCTGGAGAAAACAGAACCTCAGCAGTGTATGCTACTAGAAGCCAACAGGGCCCAGAACAGCGCAAGAGGGTCTTATTAATCAGCATCAACAGCACGCCCCAAATGAGTTCAGCATATCCTCCCGTATCCTTCCACACGTCCAACAACAGGCGTGCGGAGAAATCTGGTAACTTGTCTAAGGTCACTCGCTAGTAAATAATGAGGCAAGTATTTTAATGGAGCCCCTCATTTACTCAGGGCCTTCTGATGAGATAGGGCATGTAATCTACTCGGTGATTACCGTAGCTTCTCCAATAACTAATAAACGATGGATAAGAAGCACTCCACTCCGCCACAACTCAAGCCAGTGCCCTCCAGGGGCTTGAAGATGTCCCAAGATGGCAACTCCAGTCAGAAGCCTGGCATCTTGCTTAAATAGGTCCTGCCCTCTGTCCCCGTCCTAGAGGGCCTCTGTAGCTTCTCATATCTGGAGGAGTAGGTTGAAGCAAGTTCTTTCTGTGTGGCCTAGACTGTCAATGAACCTGTAATCCTCCTGCCTCAGCCTCTAGAGTGTTGAGATTACAGGTATGTAGTCTCCATGGTTTCTCACCTAAATAAAAGCCCCTCTCCATTCCAGCCAGAGTAGACCTCTCAGGAACCCAAATGGAACAAAGAAGCACCCAGACCAGCCACCAGAGGGTAAATGCCTCTGAGATAAAGCCTTCTTTCCCTTACCTAGTATGGCCTTGGCCATCAACCCAACCCAACCCTGTCTGTGGATCCAGTCTTATCTACGCCCCTCCCTAGCTCGCCCACACTCCAGCCTGTCAAACACCTTGTCCTTTGTTACCTGCACAGGCCCTGTGAGGAAGCCTCTCCACCTTTGCACCTGCCGTTCCCTCCTTCAAGGGGGGGGGGGGGGGAAGAGGCTTTCCTTCCTTATCCTTCCAGCGAATTCCTGCCTGTTTCAGGAAATACCTCCAAGGTTCACTCCTGCAGGAAGCACTTTCTCACCTCACGTTTCAGTCGGCCTCTGTGGGATTCTACAAACTGAGTTCTGTAAAGATACATGGTCGATCCTCACTCCCCTAGAGGCTGGAAATCTGAGACCAAGTCAGCAGCTGGCTGCCTTCTCCAGAGCCCAGTATTGGCTGGGGCTGGGTGTCTCCATGGTATCATATATAGCCCTAACCCCAGTTTCCGCATGGGACCATTTCATGGGTGATGACTTGGCCCCTGCTCTTTTGGTGTCTCCCCTATGATCCTCTTCTTACCAGCTGACTGAATATGATATGTCTGTCCCTCTACCCCTCCCCCCGGAATTGAGAAAGGTAAAAGGATCCTGTCAGTTATTCAGGAGCTGCTGGGTTTGGGGTGGGAGCCCCACGCCCCATCCCTCACCTCACACGCTCCTCACAACTTTCCTTATTGATGACCGCATTCCTTGTGCTCCAGCTTCCGCCAGCCCTAAATTCCTGTGCTCGCACAAGTGTGGCTACGTCTGGTGTCAGCCTCCTGCTTCTGTCTCTCTTCGCTAGGAACTTTCTCACAGCGTTCCCTTTCCCCTCAGGGGGAAGACAAACAAACAAACATTATTTTTAGCTTAGTAGAAAGCTTAAGATCCCATTTGGCTTTTCAGGATTTCTCTCCAGGGGACACGCCACAGGTGCATGGTGCATAAACGGGTCGCGCATCTGGCCCAGGGAGCAATGCTTCACTCACACCAAGTTATTTATTTAGTGTATCTGCTTTTTACTCTTTCCTTTCAAAAGCATCAAGCTAAAAATATCTTGTTTATGCGCTCTGGCCCGAAAATGAAGCAGTTGGGCCATTAATCACCGAGAATATGTTGAATGGGAATTTGATTAAAGTACAGGATGCGTCCTCCAGACGAAGTCGGTTCTTTACTGTAACCACAGTGGAAGCACAGAGGGCCTCTCCAACTGAGTGAGTTGTTAGCCGTGCCTCCTGGGCGGATCGCAACGCCTTTCCTGGGCTAAGAGGGCCATTGCATAGGGGGTCTTATTCTGCGCACCCTGCAGTCTCAGAAAAGGGGACCCGCAGCCTGAAAGGCAGACAAACAGGGCTCGGGAAGATGTCAGGCCTCAGTTGAAGAAGCTGTAAAAGACTCCTAGGGTGCAAAAAGGAGAGACTTGGGTGCTCACCAGGCCCCAACTGCCCCCGACCTCCACGGCCGCGATCCAGGTGGAGAATGAGCCGGACGCCACGTGGCTGGGGAGCCTGTGCAGGCAAACTCCTACCCACAGCTGAGATCCTGTAGGCGGCGGGAGTATCTCAAGGACCCGACAGGGTGTTCCCAGTGGGTGCTCAGACTCCGTAGCCAGGAACTGGACGCCCGGGCTATGGAGATTAGTACCCACCTGTATGACAGTAGGGAAAGAAAACCGTGGCTTCAGGCCCCTGACTATGGGTCCCGCTTGGGGATCACGCTCCCGGAGTCAAGTTCACCTCCTCACTCTCCCACACCCTGCTCTCTCTCTCTCTCTCTCTCCAACACCCTGCCCTCTCCCCGCCCCCGCGCGCTTGCCCTAGTGTCCTGTTCGGAGAGTCTCGGAGGACCCACCCGCCAGTCCCGAGGGGCGGGGTGGACCCCCAAACACTTGACTAGAGGCTCCACACAAGGTAGCAGCACCCGCCTTGTAAGCCTAGCAATCCTAGCGTTCTGACCTGGAGACGTAATTAAAAAGAAAGTTTTCCAGCCAGAGCGGACGGACCGGCCAGGTCCTCCAGGCTCCAGGGTTAGCGGCCGCCTCCGCTCCCTGCTGGGTCCTAGCGCCCTGCTCTGAAGATCCCGTGGGACCCCGGGGTAGAGAAGCTGGGAGGGGAAGAGGTGCTCTGCCTGGAATCAGTGGGGTCGCTTGGAGTTCACAGATAAAGACGCACAATCTCAGCGCTCTGGACCTCGCCACTCGGTGGTGAGCGCCAGGTTGCTGGTCCAAAGCAGTCCCCAACCTCCCGCTCCACACTGCTCTCGTTCACAGCTGGGGACAGGCCTAGTCCTAGCTTTTAAAACCAGTCTGCACCACGGTAGCTCAAAACTGACAGTCTCTCTCCACCCGCTACCCCTACCCCTCCCTGCTCGGCCTCTGGATGCTCCCGGGCTCCCTAGTGTTGGCTGGAAGTGGGTGACTTAGGGAGGCTTAAAGGAGGGGCGCCCAGCCACGGACCACGTGTGTGCGGGGGCGACAGAGCCGCCAGGGTGGGGCTGAGCACAGGCCGGGTTGCCTTGCAGCGCAGGAGGCAGTGGGCGTTGCGCCACCGCCTCTCTCCTCTAGCACTATGCTCCCGCCCCACTCGCCGCCTTGGAGAGGCACACACACACACACACACACACACAGAGAGAGAGAGAGAGAGGCGGGCTCTAAGACCCAGTAGGCATCGTCCTGCCCTCGCCCTCGGTCCCAGACCCGCTTGGACACCAGGGGGCGATGCCCGACCCCATATAAAAGCGGGTCCCGCGCGGGCCTGGCCATTCGCGACCCGGAGCTGCGCGGGCGCGAGCTAGTTGGGGCTCTGGGTGGGCGGCGGCAGCAGCGGCGCCACGCGCAGGCTGGAGGCCGCCGAGGCTCGCCATGCCGGGAGAACTCTAACTCCTCCATGGAGTCGGCCGACTTCTACGAGGCGGAGCCGCGGCCCCCGATGAGCAGCCACCTCCAGAGCCCCCCGCACGCGC